AAAAAAAAAAAAAGAAAAAAAAAAAAAAAAAAAAGCTTACGTGAACCAGCTCTCTGCCTACACGAGAGCAGAGTACAAGAATAGTTAACCAAGGCTTCTTTCTTTGGTAGCTCAAATCAGGTAAGAGTTCTTAGGTTAAATGATACGTGGGTGTTATTGGTTTATGTATTTTAATAGATTTATAAATCTAAACAAATTCAGTGTTATTGGTTCCATGATTTTAAAATCCAAGTTAAAATCAAGTGTTATTGGTTCCATGATTTATAAATTCTAATTCAAATCAAGTGTTATTCAATCATATGGATTCATTAATGGATTTGATGCTATAATGAATTTGGGTGGATTTGTGTGGATTTCTTTGTTAAAAATACAAGGACTAAAATCTGAAGGAAAACCCTCGAATTTGTAAGTACTTATTAAAATTCACATATTAGATTTGAAAATCAGTATATTTTCTTAAGATTTATAAATTCTATAGAGATTTCTAAATCACTCAAAATACATTAACCAATAACACCCTCTAAATCATGGAACTGACTCTGTTAATAAGTTCTGTCTCAATATTAATCAGATGGAGCTTCAAAGAATAGGAAAGTAATCTGCAGTGAAGAGTTTTTCAGCAATTTGTTTTGATGTAACTTTCTTTTTCAAAATATAATATGTGTATGTGACTGTTCGTGTATATGTATTCTTCTTCCTGATTTTAAGAGACCATCAATTTTCTTCATCGGCATATATTTTGATTATTCAAGAGATTAATCTGTATTATGGGATTGATTTTCAATCAGGAGTCCTGGACTACGAGTTTCACCACTCATCTAATTTTGTTTTCTACTTCTTCGTGGGGTTTTATGCACATTACCTAATCTAGAAATAAATATATGAACTCGTACGGACAACCCAACATCCATTTTTATTCAATCATTCTTATTTCATATAAGCTTTATTTATAATATATTGTGAATTGTGATAATCGCGAACGACGAAAATGAGTCGAACTACAATCTGACCAAAGTATATAAACCCTAAAAGTTAACGATTGACCGGTACGTCTGATTAGGTGTCCAATTCGCAGGAATAACAGCCTGAGCTACCACTATTTTTTTTATAGAATAACATAAGTTTTTATACTTTAAGGGTACTAGATGGCAAAATTATATATATATAGATATTAAATAAGCTGATATTATGCTTAAGTGTTGTATATTTATAAACTAGGTATGGACCCGTGCGATGCACGTGTCTCGATTGATATTTTATTGCAATTGTAGGAATTTTAAAAATATTTTATGAACTTGTTTTTAAGGAACAAAACTTTATCTTCCACGTAAGTTTTCGTTGTATTTATGTTTCAGTAATCATGGTGCATACATACATTAGTTAACAATTTTGTATTTAGTGCTATAGAAAAAAAGTCAGATCCAAAAATTTTAAAGGAATCCCAATTCCGGAAAATATGTAAATTAAAATGAAATAAAATTATTTGAAAAGTTGGATTAAGCCAATCGAGTTGATGGCAACGTAATACACATTTTTATGCTATTAATTTAGTAAATGTATTAATTATGTATGTTATTTTCTTATTCAAACATATTCTAATATTTCTATTGTCATTTGGTAATGTTTATGTTGTCATTGTAGATTTCTCCAAATTTTTTTATGCATTTCTTATCATCTACATGCTTTTGTTTGCACGGTACAAAGTTTTTAAATATTTTTCTTAAATCAGTAGTATAATCAAAATCATAATTCAAACATTAGCTAGTCTCAGAAAATGCTAACAAACAAATGACACCTTGATATATCTTGTTCAAAACACTTGTCAATTTGTCATGATAAGACCAATTTTTTTACCTTTCACGACGCGATATTTTTTTTAAATAATTATGCTTGTTCAGTTCATATTGTTGTTTATCTTTCAATTTCACTGTATAAGATAAACATTTTTAAAAAACGAAGAACTTAAACTGCTTAATGAAATTAGACTAATACTTTAAAGAAAATAACATAATCATGAATGGAAAATTATATTTTTTTAAAAAAAATTTATTATCTTAGAATAGATATTTAAATCATGAGATATTCTAACACATCTCACAAATTAAAAGGAAAATTACTATCAAATAATCTCTTACAATCATCTTTTATTTAGGGTTTAATAAAACAAAAATTAGTATTAAATAAATTATTTTTACTAATTTTTTTGTTGTTTAGGATTTGTAAAAAGAAAAACTACAATATAAACTATCTTTACTTTTTACTATTAAATAAAATTAAATTAATTTTCCTAAATTCTTTTTACTATATCAGTATATATATTTTTAATTATAAGCTATTTTAACACATGTCACAATATTAAAAGGAAAATTTCTATCAAAGAATATTAGCAATTATTTTTGTTTAGGATTTTAAATTGAAAAATCACTATTAACTAATATTCATAATTATTTTTTTTAAAAAATTTTTTTTATTATCTTAATCAAGCGAGATTTTAACACTTCTCACAATATTAAAAAGAAAATTACTATCAATTAATGTTTTACAATCATCCTTTATTTAGGATTTAAGAAAAGGAAAATTAGTATTAACTAAATTATTATACAATTTTTTTTTAGGATTTGTAAAAAGGAAAACTACAATACACACAAGATTTCCTCTTTACTATTAAATTAAATTAAATTACTTTACCCAAATTCGTTTTATTATATTAGTATATATATATATATTTTTATCATAATACATTTTAACACATGTCACAATATTAAAAGGAAAATTCCTTTTAAATAATATTTTGCACTTATTTTTGTTTAGGGTTTTAAAATGGAAAATTACTATTATAAATTTTCCCAAATTCGTTTTATTATATTAGTATATATATTTTTAACCATAAGATATTTTAGCACATGTCACAATATTAAAAGAAAAGTTCATATCAAATAATATTTTGCAATAACTTTTTTTTTAGGATTTAAAAATAGAAATTTACTATTAACTAATATTTATAAATAATTTTAACAAATTTCGTTATATTTTTAATTATAAGATATTTGTACACTTGTCACAATCTGAATTATGTAATTGCCACATGTGACAATCGTGTTAATTAGTAACTTTGAAAAACCAAGCTTTATATAATAAGATATGTATATATTTTTTACTAATACATATATATATATATATATATATTTACTAACATTTAAATATTAAATATAATAAATTAAATTTCATTGTATCACTAAATTGTTTTTTAAATAAAGTCAAATAAAATAGGTAAACAATTTTTTCTTGCAACATAGATTAAGACTAGTACGTTGATTTACATCCCTTGATATATGGCTTACTAGAGATATATATAATATATGTGAATGTAGGGCTGGGAGTAGGGCTGGGACTTATATCCAGGATCCGCTATCCGATCCGGGATCCGATCCGATCCATTCCAAAAAAACAGATATCCGGGGGGTTCCGATCCGGATCCGGATAGTGATTTCACGGATCCGGCGAATCCGGATAGTGAAAATTTCAGTCCGGATATCCGGATCCGGGCCCACTAAATATTTAAAAAATATTTAAAATATAATTATATTTATAAAGGTATATTATATATTTTCTATTAAATATAACTAATATTTAATTTTGTTAATAAATTCTATTATTTTAATTTAATTTCTTTTGAAAATACTAATTTTTAATAAAATAAATAAATACTGAATTTTGAATTTTTATTTTTTATTTTTTTTTAAAATAAATCGGATCCGGATATCCGCGAGTATCCGAGTTTTAGTCCGGATATCCGGACCCCGGATAGCCGGATGGCCCGAATCCGGATCCGGATAGTAATTTTACGGATCCGTCGAATCCGAATCCGGATCCGGATATCCTAAAATACCCCGGATATCCGATCCGTCCCACCCCTAGCTGGGAGATAGCATAATTGCTATCATGGGATTGGTGTCACGGTTTGCTGCTGGATCGACTGCGGGATGGACAGAGGCGGATCTACTTGCAGAAAAGGGGGCAGTGGCGGATCTAGGAATGTTTTTTACCGGTGTCATAAAATTTATTAATTATTTTTAATTTAATATTACTAAAAATATTTTTAAAATGTTACAAATATGTTTTTTAAATACAATATTTTTAACGTTGATTTATTATGATAATACAATTATAAAAAAATTTACATAGAGAATTCAATAACCGACAATAAAATAAGATTAAACTTATTATGTATTATTAGAACTATAATCAAATAAAAATGTATACAATCAAAAACGAAAGATGCATTTCACTTTTTCATATACAAAAGTTCAATAAAAGTGACAACAGACTTCAAATCAAATTTCAAGAATAAAACTATAGCAAGTAAATAATTTCTGTAAAAGAATACTATTTATGTAAAATGTTATAAACATATAAAATTGTACAAAATAAACATTTTAAATAAAAAGAATAAGAATAGATTATACGCTCGCAGTTTTTTTATAAAGAAAAGTATATCTTCAGATCAAGTTTGGTTTTTAAAGCCCATACGAAAATAAAAATCTTCTAAATTGAGATTTATGCTCTATCTAAACTAAGAACAAAACACAAATGGGCTTCAGTCTTTTTGACAAACTCGGTTTAGGCCTAGAAGAAAAGAAAAAGTAAAATAAATTAAGGGGTTCAAAGCTTGCGCGAACTCTGTAATGGAGTGTCAACACATTAAAATGCAACCGATTGTGCCACCCTCCCTCGTCTGGCAAAGCCTACAAATATAGTTTTAAGAATTTTAAGGGGTGTCAG